CCACCTCTCTCTCGTAACTGAGCTTCTCTCGTGTCACCCTATAAGTAAGATCCCCGTCTCTGCTTGGCTTTTTTTGCTCTTCGTATATCCTCTGTTCTTCGTCTATGGTTAACTCATTTGCTCTCTCTCGACCTAGAGTATTCTCTGTTGTTATTCTTTGGCATTATAATTTTGTGGTTGTTTGTTTAGCTCTATTTAGTCATTGATTTTCAACTGGTTGTTCACTGCTGTTGGATTTTACAATTTATGCAATTTAGGTTTTTGCAATTCATGTGATTTTGGTGTTTGATTTTCTTTATTCTTTACAATTTATGCAATTTAGGTTTTTGCAATTCATGTGCTTTTGGTGTTTGATTTTCTTTATTCTTGGTGGGTTGATGGCTTTTTACTTTCAATTGGGTGGTGTTGTGGTGGTTGTGGTTGTGATATGGGGAGGAGTGCTTGTGTTTTGATCGTGTTATGGTTGTGTTGTAAGGATGACTACTTGTACTGTGGGTTGCAATGTGGTGGTTACGAGTTCGGTGGTTGTGTTGTGGGTTGTGGTGATTGTGTTGTGGGTTATGATGGTTGTGTTGGGTATTTATGGTGTGATGATTGTGGCTTGGGTGGTTGTGTTACTGTGTCTTTGTGGTGTGGTGGTTGTGGGTCGTGTGTGGAGGTGTGGTTGGGTGGTTGTGAGTTGTGTAGAGGTGTGGTTGGGTGGTTGTGGATTGTGGTAGTTGTGTTGTGTGTTGTGGTGTGATGCCTAGTGTGGTGGTTGTGGGATGAGTGTGGATGTGTGGCTGTTGTTGGTTGGTTGGATGTATTGTGGGTTATGGTGGTTGTGTTGTGTGTTGTTCTGTGCGTTGTGATGACTATGTTGCGGGTTGGGTGGCTGTAGTGTTATGTCTTGTGGTGCAAAGATTGTGGGTTGGTTGTTTGTGGGGTTTGTGTGTTGTGGTGTGATGCCTAGTGTGGTGGTTGAGGGATGAGTGTGGAGGTGTGGCTGTTGTTGGTTGGGTGGATGTATTATGGGTTATGGTGGTTGTGTTGTGTGTTGTTTTGTGTGTTGTGATGACTATGTTGCGGGTTGGGTGGTTGTAGTGTTATGTCTTGTGGTGCAGTGATTGTGGGTTGGTTGTTTGTGGGGTTGTGTCTTATGGTGCGGTGGTTGTGAGTTGTGTGTGGATGTGTAGTTGGATGGTTGTGGAGTGATGGTTGTGGGTTGTGGTGGTCATGTTGTGCGTCAGGTGGTTGTGATGTTGGGTCTTATGGTGTGGTGGTTGTGGGATGTGTGTGGAGGTGTGACTGGGTGTTTGTGGTGTAGTGGTTGTGGGTTGGGTGATCGCAGGGATGTGTCTTCTGATGTGGTGTGTGTGGGTTGTGTGTAGATGTGCAGTCAGGTGGTTGTGGGTTGTCGCAGCTGGGTTGTAGTTTATGGCAGTTGTATTGTTGGTTAGATGGTTGTGGTGTTGTGTCTTATGGTGAGGTGATTGTGGGATGTGTGTGGAGGTGCGGTTGGGTGTGGTGGTTGTGGGTTGGGTGGTTGTGGAGATGTGTCTTGTGGTGTAGTGGTTGTGAGTTGTATGTAGATGTACGGTCGGGTGGTTGTGGTGTGGTGGTTATGGGTTGGGTGGTTGTGTTGTGGGTTGTGGTGGTTGTGTTGT